ACGGCAGTGATGCGATGCCAAAAGCTTCGATTGATGCACGGGGAAGCCATAGCTTGTGCTCGTTGGTCTCCTCCTTCATACGTGTCGATCGACTCCCCCTATAAGTGATTCTAGTTAGTGTTTGCTACGAAGCCTCTCGATCTCGCCTCTGCCTCCCTCCCACGTCTCGATTTATAGAAAGAAATCACCCCTTTGTGCTCCTGACTGCTCACTTCGTTTCCCTCTCTTCGACTCCCTCATTTTTCCCTTGAACGAGACATAATCTTCCCCACTTATAAAATTTTTGTACTGATTAAACAAACCATAATTCATCTTTTATTACCATGTCAACATGAACTATCCATAAATTTCATGAAGAAGACTGTGTTATTCATTAAGATGAAAAGTGATCACTGAAAAGAAAATGCCTGATACAATATGGCTCAACTAAATTCCTCTCATCAATTGAAACAGGAAAATATAACCAAGATAACAACATGCTCAAATAACTATAACAGCACACGTTCACTAGAGCAAGAAAATACAACAATCATCAGTCTCTATTAGCATCAACATCTGCAACGATATATTCTTTAGACTCATTAATAATGGTATAAACTCGAGGTCGAACTGTTGTCGTTGTTGATCTTGGGTGAGAGCTGAAACTCTTGACTCTATCATTCTCTGCCCACCGATAATTGTTTGTGAAAAAGCTCCACTTGATTTTTGATCATTAATACTTTTCTGGTCAAACAATGGACGGATAACATGCGTTAAAGCCCATCAAACATTCACCCTTATGTTGTCTAGCACATTTAGTAGAAGAGATTACGGTAGTCTGAGTCGCACCTCTACTAACTCCACTCGAATTGAACTTTAGATTTCTTCCCTTTGAATCGCTCTGATTGATTCACATGTTCTTCTCCATCAATACTCTTCTTCTTGCGTATTTTCTTACTCTTCAGAGTAAGTTGATAATCGATATCCACTCTTCTAGCTCGTTCTATTAATACCAAGTTTTCATTTATCCCAAAAGACAACAACGGTTATCCAATTGAATCCTTTAATCCCAAAAGGAGTGTGAAAATTTTCTTCTGTAGTAGTGATCAACTGTGGCGCATAACATGACAGTGCAGTGAATTCGACTTTGTACTGTATGATTGTCTTCTCTCTCAGTATCAATTTGATAAATTTACTGTATTTGAATTCGTGTGGATAAGGGTACAAACCACTTTCTGAAATGCTCCACAAACTCCTCTCAACTTACCATCATATTGGGTATGTCCTCTAATTTGACCTAACACTACCAATGCTACCACCATTCAACTTCTCCATCCTTCACGAATGTAGCTAATGACACTCTTGTTTCACCCAGACAGACCATACTATCTAATATCTTCTTAAGTTGCGTTAGTCAATTCTCTGCTTCAATCTGAGTCTTCAGTTTCCTTAAGCAATGATGGACGTAGATTTTGAATATTTCTAAGTATTTGTCTACAACAACTGTCTCATTGCCACCAATCTCTGGTCTAGACTCCCGATTCAATTATGTCATCGCCACCACATCTGGGTCAGGACATTTCTGTTAGCATTTATAGTTGGTTGTATTTCATCCTTTTTTATCGAACTCTCTTCTTATATAATTTCAGGTCTATCTTTTTGCCTAAATGGATATAATTATTAATTTATGTTAATTTAAAATTTTTATTTTATTATTATTAAAAATTTTCTTATAATTTTCCTATTGACTCTTTCATCAATATTGCATTATTTAATCTTAAATCTTGGGTTTTGATACCACTTTTGTCACAACCTGACCGAGGACTTAGAATTAACAATGAGGGTACTAACAGTCGTATGGTGGAAATTAAAATTTTCTATATTTGTTTTATATAACTAATATATACTTAATAAAAGAGTCATTAAAGGAAGTAAATTAAAACAATATAGTTAAATTTACCTCACTATAAGTTCTTAACATCTTTTAGAAACATGTTTTCTTCTATAACTCATTTTTAATCAATTAATTAAACCTAAAAGTTAGTTTAAAATAACAATGACTGAACTATAACCAGTGAATAATTATACTTCTAAACTATGATAATACAATGATAAAAAAATCAATATACATGACAATTAAACTTTATGTAGATCAATTTAAGAGCATGATGATCATTTAGTATTATTCTATACACTTAATGTCTTACTATACCATTTATATATCAATATCTTTTTAATATATATACATTCGTCATCGAAACACCATATAAAATTATGCAATTTAAGATACTTCAATATCAATATCCTTTTTCATTTACGTGCATTTGTACTCTAGTGTTCCTCCGCTAGTACCATAAAAAATGAACTCCATCATAGACAAACATGCACACGCAAACATACTATAACAAATACTATTTAGTAATGGTCATTTTATTCTCATTTGTATATCAATCAATATATTTGTTCAAGAATCAATATCTATGATAATCTAAACAATGCTGAGTACATGCCCTTCCTTCAATATGAACAAACATAGAACCTTAAATCATGGGTATGCAATGATATAAATATATTAGCAACAATAAATATATTTGGTCAAGAAGAAGCAAAATATTACAAAATCATAAAAATATAAGTGCTCACTTCGTTGTTTTCCACCTGGTTACCCTTAGATTGAACTCCATTTGAAATACTTAATATAAGAAGTATTCGTGTTAATAAATGTAATTGTGGTTGAATAATGTATATATTCTTAAATTAATTTTTATTAAATTATAATTACATATATTGAATTCTAGGTTTGATTTACTCTCTTGCTATTTATTTTTAATCTTAATTTTAAAGATAGTAAGTACCATAATTTTATAAATTTTAGATTTATTTTAAACCTTAATCGAATTGTCAAATTAATAAAAATTATCAATTAACATTTTATTTTTATCTCATTCATCTATAACTTGAATCGTCTTTAGATGGTTTGGTCACATTAAACATCAACCATCTGATGATCCGATTAGAAGAGTAGATGTTTTAGATTCGACTTTTGTTTAGAAAGGCAGAGGTAGACCTAGGATGACTCGGGCATATTGTATAAAAATTGATCTTAATTTATTAGAATTAAATGAAAATATGACACTAAATAGGACGCAATGGAGAAAAAGGATCCACGTAGGAGACCCCACTTTGGATTTATGCCAGATAGGTTTACTATGGAAGCTATACATTTATTGAGAGGTTTGGTGGAGAAGTTCAGAGACATAAGGAGAATCTACATTTGATTTTTATTGATTTAGAAAAAACTTACGATAAGGTTCCAAGAGATATCCTTTGGAGAGTTCTTGAGAAGAAAGGTGTTGATATGATTTATGTTGAAGTCATTAAAGATATGCATACTAGAGCTGTTACTTGTGTTCGGACTGAAGGAGGATTGACCAATTATTTTCCTATTTCTGTTGGATTACATTAGAGATATGCTTTAAGCCCATATCTTTTTGCTTTAGTTATGGATGGTCTTACTGGACATTTACAGGAGGGTGTACCTTGGTGTATGCTTTTTGCTGATGATATCCTTCTCCTGGATAAGATGAGTGAAAAAAGCACAGGAAAAATCTGAATTGTGGAGGTCTACATTAGAGTCTAAAGTCCTTCATTTGAGTAGAACTAAAACTGAATACATGGAATGTATTTTTAGTAATAGTAGCTCTAGTGACAAAAGTGTAACTTTGGATGATGAAATTATTAAAAGGTGTGGATGATTTGGATATCTTGGGTCTGTTGTTCAAAGCGACGGTGATATAGATGGAGATGGTAATAGTAGAATTCAAGTTGGTTGGTTGAAGTGGAGGAATGCTTCGAGCCTTTTGTGTGATAGAAAAATACTGCTTAAACTGAAAGGAAAATTTTATAAGATGGTGGTGAGACCTGCAATGCTTTATGACGCTGAATGTTAGCCTTTAAAAGAGAAGCATAATACGAAGTTAAGTGTTGCCGAGATGAGAATGATTAGGTGGATGAGTGGCTTTACACTTAGAGACAAAATGCGAAATAAATATTTTCGTGATAGGGTTGGTGTAGCTCCAGCGAAGGACAAAATTAGAGAGAGTCGTTTTAGATGGTTTTGTCACATTAAACACTGACCATCTGATGATCTGATTAGGAGAGTAGATGTTTTTGATTCGGCTTATGTTAAGAAAGACAGAGGTAAACCTAGGAAGACTTGGGCTTATTGTATAAAAAATGATCTTAATTTTTTACAATTAAATGAAAATATGACACTAAAGAGGACGCAATGGAGAAAAAGAATTCATGTAGCCAACCCCACGTAGTGGGATTAAGGCGTTGTTGTTGTTGTAATACTTTGAACTAGCTGTTGGTAATATATTATTTTAATCTGATGTCTTGTGATAAATATATTATTATTTTGTTCCTGCTTTTTGACTGATCTATCGTATAGTATTTCTTTTGACTCCATTTTTGGGCACTGTTGAGCTTCTGACACATTAATATCATTAAATTCTTGGCGGAGACGTAGTTTTAATGGTTTATAGTTATTTTTGTTGACTTAATAAACGTAATACCTTAGTGTTTCTTTTGAAGTATACATGAAAATGGACCGATCCAAATTGTAGCTTTTCTTCATTGCAACTATACCCATTTCAGGTGGAATGTAAACTTTGAAACGTATAAGTTAGCATAAAATAATTCAAGAATTACACTTTAATTTATTTCTAAACCAGATCATCAAAGAGAGAAAACCGAAGTAATAGATAGGTGCTTTAATCTAGTGGTGCAACCGGTGCAAAATATGCAATGGTTGCAGCCTTGCCCGGTGAGCTAAAACCTACTGCTAAACCTTGTCTAGGCAAAATACATCAGGTGTTGAATAATCTGCTCATGTTTTGGTATCAGGACGGTATCCTAACTGTTATAGTGTTGCTAGTGTAAGCTACCACTCTAGAGTTAAATTTATTTTAAGGAAATACAGAACTTGAATTTCCCTTTTTTATTCTGAACTGCATCAGATATGGGGGCATTGAAGAGTTGAAAGACCTTGTCAAAAAATTTCATGAAGTTGGAATTAAAGTCCTTGGTGATGTTGTCCTAAATCATCGTTGTGCTCACTATCCAAATGCAAATGGTATATGGAATATCTTTGGCGGTCGTTTGACCTGGGATGATCGGGCTATTGTTGCTGATGATCCACATTTCCAGGTAATTTACAAAATTCCTTATCTGATTGTGATCTATGTGATGTTTCATGCATTTTCAAATCATATATTTTATCAGAAACCTTATTTCTATGGTAAATTTTTATTTGCAAAATGTGTACATCTGGTAGCACTTTCTTCGACTTGAAATTGACTCTTGTGGAAATATTCGATTCTCTATAGTTTAGAGGTGATGGATTGCTACCTTGTTTCTTATTGTGGAAATTTTAGAAGATTGTGTGGATGATTTGATTGGGCCAACTTAGGAAACACTTGATTAACTTATTTCCTTCATATTCTATATTATATTAATTTTATTTTAGAATTATTTCCTTTCCTAATTTAGGTTAGATATATTTGGTAAGCTTGTAAAATAAGAGAGATTATTTTCCCTACCCTACATGTGAATAATACAATTAAGAGAGAATTATTCCTCTCCAAATTAGTTCTCTACATGGTATCGGAGTATTGAGAACAAAACCTAGCTTCCCCTACCACTGGGAATCTCCTCTGCTATCAAAAATCCTCTCTGTTGGCTGAAAATCTGCTTTGCTGGCTTGCAGCCAGTACTTCCCTGCAGGCCTTTCTCTGCAGTCGGTACTTCTGCAGGCCTTCCTCTGCTTGCCGCAGCTCAAACTCTTTTTGTAGGCAATCCTTCTCACCTACACTGCTGCAAGAAACTTCTTCCAGAGCAACCAGAGGAGCCGCAAGAATTTTGCCGGCCTCCTAAATGCTCCGCACCGTGCAATCCATTTCCTGCACCCGCTTTTCTCCAAAGTTCTTCCTTGTAGGCTATCCTGCAGGTTTCCCTCTAGCTATTGGATCTCCTTTCTTTCAACGTCGGATTTCACCGACTAAAAAAATCTCCTCCAGCTGCCGGAACTAGCAGCATGAATTTCCTCCAACAGCTGTCTAGCGTCATAATCCTTCACAATCGTAAGCCAACCTGCAGGCCCTCCTCGGTGCCAGCTCCTGCTCCCTTTCTTTGCCAGATTTCTCCCTAGAGCTGCCAACTACTTGAAGGCGCTCCTTGCAAACTATTTTTTTTGGGGACGATTACGTACAAGGCATCCAAAACATTGCTATATACAAATCCGGCACCCTCTTTCATCTATTTTTGAAATTCTCACTCAAATATCAATGGTCATGATAAAACTCATCCCATATTTTTTATTTTTATCAAATTCACAATGGTTTGATTGTGACACACGTAAATGCATTAGTTTCATAGTTCAAAAAATCACCAAGGTTCTTGATTTGTAAAAAAAATAATGTTTCTTGCGCTCTGTACGTAATTATCCCTTGTTTTTTTGTTTTCCTCCACCAGAGTAGTTGCTGTCTTTCACCAGAGTAGCTGTTGTCTTCCCTCTCTCCACTATCATTCTTCGCTGTCTTCCTACAGGCCCTCCGCTGGAGCTTCTCTCTGCCGCAGCTAGTACTAGAACTTTCCTTATAGTCACCAGGTTTTCTGTATGCCCTCTGCCAGATCTTCTCCCTGCAACCAACAACCTGCAGGCCCTTGCAACCAATCTCCAACTTTTTTGACAAGTAGATGTTTCTCACCTTCTCCAACAACAGTAGCTGTCAACTTCCTTGATTCAACTAGCAACAACCTTAAATTAAATACTCATAGGGTTTATGTTCAAGTACGGGATGAAGACGTCAAGTTTTACTCCGGAGGTTAATTCTGAACCATTCACCAATGACAACTTGAAGTACTGAAAAACTCCTTAGAGGTAATTTAGAATAGCTCACCAATCTCGTGACAGACGGATGTAATATATCAGTCTCCCATCTTGCCAGTAATAAGAGATTTAACTTTTGGATCATGGATTCAAGTCCCTCAAATCATATGACCGGAGATATCAATACTATAGTCAACTATTAAGAGCCTTCTGCATCTAGATCAGTTAGACTTGTAGATGGATCACACTAAAAATTTGATGAAAAAGGAGATTTGAAGCTGTCTCAGGATATTACCCTTTCTTTTATTTTTTGTGTTCCATAATTGTACTAAAATTTTATTTCAATCAGTAAGCTTAGTTATGATATGAAATATATAAATAAATTCTTTGTATACTTTTGTGAACTTCAGCTGGTGGAGTAGCATGAGAAGTGATTGACAGTACTGAAATACATCAAGGCTTATACCCACTCAAGAAAAATCTCTCTAAACATAAATGATTTCATGTCCATTTTTATCTTGATCTTTTGAGTCAGCTGAATCTATATCTATCAAAAAATTAGACATGTTATGGCATTGTCTCCTGGTCATCTTATATTGCAAAGTTGTATGCTCATTTGTTTATCCATAAAAGCCCTATTTCTTATCAATGCGAGATTTTTTCAAACACATTAGAAATAATTATCCATGACCCAGCCTAATTCCTTACACCCTTTTTTCCATCACCCATAGTGTTATTTAGGGACCTTCAAAGGTGAAAACTTTATTTGGTGCTAGACGGTTTGTCTCATTTTTTGACAATCTCACAAACTATTTGAAAAATCTTAATGAAGGAGAAATCTCAAACAACCCAAATTTTCCAAACCTTCCATAGCATGATTCAAATTAAATTCCAATGCAAATTTCAAACTCAAAATTAATAATGTAAAGAAATATTTTAATTCCATTTTTGGTTCCTATCTTTCAAAAAATGGAATCATTCATTTGAGCTCATGTATTGATAATCTACAATAAAATGAGATAGTTAAAAGAAAGAACAAAAATCTCCTTGAGATATTCTGCTCAATTATGATGTCACATCATGTTCCAAAATATTTCTGGGGCAAAACAATTTATATTGCAACAAAAATCTCCTTCTCTGGATGACACTGAATATCTAAATCATAATTTTTAATAAATCCCAGCAATTTCTTCTGCCTTAGGTTTAATTCTTTCTTAGTGAAGATATATTTCTGATGATCAGTAAAGTCTTCGTTTCTAACACCATACAAATAATGCCTCCATACCTTAAGTGCAAATACAACTGCAGCAAACTCCAAGTCATGTGTGGGATAGTTTCTTTCATGATTCTTCAATTGTTGTGATGCATACCATGTTGCATAAGTACACAATCTAAACCCCTAAGAAATGCATCGTTGAAAATCTGAAGCTCATAAGAGTCGGAAGAAATGGCCAAAACTGGAGCAGACATTGCACAAGTTTTTAGCTCCTAAAAATCCTCCTCATAGTGATCAGATCAGTCAAACTTCATTGCCTTTACAGTCGACCTTGACAACGACATAGCAATCTGTGAAAATCTCTCAATAAATCTCCTATACTAACCAACATGATCTCAAATACTCCTGAGCTCAATGACAATAGTAGGTTATGACCAATCCGCAATCGCCTTAATCTTATTCTGATCCACAGATATGTTGCCTCCACTAATAATGTGCTCAAGAAAAGCCACGATTTTAAGCCAAAATTGACATTTGAAAATTTTGGCATAAATTATTCTCCTTCAAAACCTGCAACACAACATGCGAATGACCTGTATGACTGACTTCATCCCTTGAATACACCAGAATATTATCTATAAAGACGATCACAAAACTATCCAAAAATTGTCTGAAGTCCCTGTTCATCAGGTCCATGAAAACTGTTGTCATAACCGGGAATTAATATCGCCCATATCTAATCATGAAAGTAGTTCGCTATGTCTTCTTCTTTATTCCTCAACTAGTGATAGCCTGCCTGAGATCAATTTTTGAAAATACAAGAACCCCTTCAAACTGATCAAACAAATCATCAATCCTTGACAATGAATACTTAATTTTAACCGTGAGTTTATTCAACTATTTGTAATCAATACATGCCCTGAAGCTCTCATCCTTCTTCACAAATAACACTGGAGTTCGCCAAGGTAAGATGCTAGGTCTGATAAACCTCTTATCTAACAATTCCTACAGTTGGCTCTTCAGCTCCTCCAACCCCTTAACTGTCATCTGTAAGGTGCCTTGGATACATGCTCAAAATCGGGTAAGAGCTCAATACTTAAGTCAATATCTCACACTGGTGGAGCCTTTGTAAATCATCAATGAAGACTTCTGGATATTCTCTTACCTTCAGAGTATCACCCAAAGACTGTACTTCCTCAGAAGTATTTGCTACATGAGCAAAAAAACCTTGACTTCCACGATTCAACAATTTGTAAGCCTTTAAGTAGGTAATTTTTATAAATGCCAATCCTTTGTCACCAAAAAAATTGATTTCTTCCTGGCATCACCCTCCTTCTCGGATGGCTTAAGGTGAAGGTAGATGGTGCTCTTCTCTTATCTGGCTCAACAGGTACTGGAATCATTGTGCGGGATGACCACGTCATGGGAATTGTAGCTTCCAGACTATATTTTGAGCATGATGATACATTATAGCCTGAATACAGTGAAAAGTGTGCAAGGGCCGCTAGACCCGGTTGTAGTGTCAAATAAACAAGTGTTCACATATTATGGACAAATGTGGGTAAAGAAGTTAGTCCATAAATCTAATGAAATTAATTTTATGATATGATCTTGGAATATAAGTACTCTCAATGGTAAAATAATGGAGTTAGTTGATTCTATGATTCATAGAAAAATTAATACCTAATGTATTCAAGAAACTAAATAGGTTGAAGAAAAGGCTAAGGAAATTGATAACTTAAGTTTTAAACTTTGGTATTCATGTAAGAGTCGCACTAGAAATGGTATAGGTGTAATTATAGATAAGAGTTTGAAAGATGATGTTGTAAAAATTAATAAGTTGGAGATAAAATTATAACCCTTAAGATTATCATTGATACTAAGATTTTTAATATTATAAGTGTTTTTGCTCCTCAAGTTGGCTTAGATATAGGGTCAAAAGATAAATTTTGAAATGACTTAGAAAACTTAATACAAATGATACCTCTTGAAGAAAGAATTTTTTATTGGAGGAGATTTAAATAGACATGTCGATAGAGTGCTAGAAGATTTTAGAAATATTCATGGCGGCTACGGATTTGGAGTGACTAATGAAAAAGATAA